ACTTTTATTTGGCGCTTTTCGTCAATAAATAGTGCAAATTCCCAATAATAATTTTGTTTCATTGAATAATATAGACTTACGCCTTCCTTCATGGGTTTCATGATAACATGAAAATCCGATCAGGGATCTGGAAGGCATTTGTATACAAATAAATACCGTATATACTCGTGTGACAGGCGATCACGCATAGCATGACCCGTGCCACAAATTTTCACTAATGAAATCATTTTATCATGTATTTCTGTGCATTATGTGAGATCCTTTTTTGAGAGTACAAACTACAAACTACTAACCTCTTTTCCTCTACCACTTTATCCCATCTTTTAGCTAAATAAGTTAAAAAATTAAAAGAGAATGATAAACGTATCGTTAGTAACGCTATACTCGTTGCCTAAACGCGTACAGCCATAAACAACCGAACGAGAAGCAGCTAAACATCATATAAACTTAAACAATGGAAATGTTTGTATTTTATAATATAATACTAATATGCGAATATTATATGCATTATTATTGGATACAGTTAAGTAAAGCATCGGTTTTATCAAAATCATGTTTATTTTAAATACAGCTGTACTTTAGACTACATTAAATGGATATATAGTTTGGTTAAAGGGGTAGCTACGGTAATTTTATGTGACCCCTTTAAAATTAGATTCGAACTTGGGTCTTCAAAAGTCGCATGATACTGGGGTATACAGGGTAGACATATTTAAATTATTCAATGAGACATGTTTGAATGAATATATACTGAATAAATATATATTATCTCTCTCTCTCTCTCATATATATATATATATATATATATATATATATATATATATATAAAAAATAGAGTTTTACATTATGGTATATTTATGGATAAATGTAGCCAATTTCAGAGATCGCATGCACACACACACACACACACACACACACATATATATATATATATATATATATATATATATATATATATATTTCGATAAACGTGCAATCAATTAAAAAATTCATGAATTATTCACACAAAAACAAATGCAAAGGTTAATGATTTAATTGGCAAGAAATCCATCTATTCCATATCTGAAGATGTCTGTAGGAACAGACGAAAGCTTGTAGTAAAAATAAGAACTAATGCAGCAGAAATTTATAGAAACAAGGATCTTTACATTCATAACAGGTTCGGAGGTTTTTGTATATTATTTGAATTGTTTGCGACGATGGATTTCTCGCCAATTAAATCATTAACCTTTGCATTAGTTTTTGTGTGAATAATTCATGAATTTTAAATTGATTGCACGTTTATCGAAATTAAAATAACTGATCCAAGTGCGACTTTTGGATAATAAGTGCGACATTACTGTAATTATTGAACAATATAGTTCATGCCACTTTGACAGAAAATTTACCAGTAAAAAATTCGCTTATCACCATATTTGTACAAGAACGCACAACTGTAAAAATTTAAAATCAAACTCGGCGTTGCTATTGCACGCTCCAAAAACAATAACTCATTTTCAATAGCATTTTCGGATACAACAATACATATATTTTCGTTGTCCTTTTATTACTGAGAGAAAAAACAAGAAAAACATCTATTCCGTACCTGAAGATGTCTGTAGGAACAGACGAAAGCTTGTAGTAAAAATAAGAACTAATGCAGCAGAAATTTATAGAAACAAGGATCTTTTCATTCCTAACAGGTTCGGAGGTTTTTGTATATTATTTGAATTGTTTGCGACGATGGATTTCTCACCAATTAAATCATTAACCTTTGCATTTGTTTTTGTGAATAATTCATGAATATATTCATGAATATATATATATATATATATATATATATATAGGCAGGAGTGCAAGTAGGACGCAAGAGTTACAGAAAGTGGGAGCAAGAGTAAAGAGGCGTGGGAGAGGAAATGATGAAGAAAGAACGGGGAATAGATAAATGGATCTGGAATTGTCGATAAACATTGCATTTGAATAGTTAGAGATGAGAACTGTCGGAGAAGCAAGTATGAAGATGGGTGTTCCACAGACGGGAAGTGCGAGACATGAAGCTATTGGATTAAAAAAGAGACGGCTACATTTAAACGTTTCCACAATCAAAGAGTGGGAACGAAACAACGACCTAGTGGTACGTTTCAATTCATGCAGTTTGGGAACTAGCGAAAATAGCTCGTCGTATTGTAGAAAAGTCAGAGAGTCACGTCTGTGTGAAAGCGACTGTAAACGAGATGCCAGATCAAGGCCTACCACATTTCATATTCGTCTCTGGATTTTGTCGAGGACCCTAAAATGAGCAGTGGGTGCCAGACCATATATGACAGCAATATTTCATCCAAGGACGAATGGTTGATTTATAGATTTGAAGGATGAACTCGAGAAAAAAAAAACTTTCTGGTACGACACAGAGAACCAACTTTCCTTGCAATAGATGAAGCTATTGATTCAATGTAATAATTCCATCTGAGGTCAGCGGTCAGTGTGAGACCAAGCAGTGGCAAAGAGGTGCCCTCGTGGA